TTCAACGACTTTTACGAGACACATCGGCCCTACTAATATATTCACTTGTGTGAAATCTCAATATCACAGCTTTTATAGTTTTTGAGATATAGCCAAATAACTTTTGAAGTTGTATGGCAGGTACCAGAAGGAGCCAAGTAGTTTCAACGACTTTTATGTGGCATATTGGCCCTACTAATATATTCGTTTGTGTGAAATTTCAATACCATAACTTTTATTGTTTCTGAGATATAGCCAAATAAATTTTGAAGTTGTATGGCAGCTACCCGAACCGGTACCCCGATCATGTCCAATTTAAATAGGGTTCTGGCACTTACTACAATAAATCATTTGTGAAAATTTGGTGAACTTAGCTAAATTAGTTTTTGAGTTATCAGAAACAAACTCAGAATTTGACGCTGATCAAAAACATACACTTGAGTCTATATATAACACCGTTATTTCTTAGCGTTACAAACGGTAAGGCAAATTTAGTATACCCTTCGAACATACGTTCGTAAGGGTATAAAAATTTTGCATGGATTGTGATACTTTAAAATTTTCTTCCAGGATAATCTTCATATAAAAGTAATAGAGCTATACAAACCATTTTTATGTGCTTCTTATAGAAAATTGATTAATATCGAATATTCCTTGAAAAATTTAGTATTGAAAATCATTATGTAAAGTAAATTCTGTTAAATTTCTTATTTTTTCTGTCTTTTTTTATTTCTGGTTAAAATTTATGTGATATTTGATAATTTTAATGAATAATTATTTATTTTCAAATAAAAAATATTATGATAAAAAATAAAACTCTATAATTTGTTATCATAAATATTACGCCTCTTTGAAATATGAATATATTAAAGGATAACCATTTTTACCGACCGCATTGCATACAATAAGAAAGGTTTCGTGATGGCGCAAAATGTCGAAAGTCGAGCTTTCACTGAGAACGCACTTCTCCACAGTAAGGAAGCGTAAATAAACTACTTTAAGAAAGATGTCGGTGTATCGGACTATCGTCTATGTATGACCGAGTGCATCTCAAGTTCGACTTAACTGATTTTGATAAAACTTTATATCTGTGTTTATTTTAGCTATTTAACGGATTTATCTTTGTAGTATATGAGGCCTCGGAAACTGAATATTTTTGTGCATATAAAGAGAACTTATAAACCAAATTTCCTTAAAATTTGATATTAAATTTCGGGATGTTAAAGCAATGAATTTACAAATTTTTGAAAACATCAGAAATACCATTTAAGATAATTCAAATGGCACAAAGCAAAACCCTAAACACTTTCAGAAAACTATATTTAAAATAAATTAGGGTCGGTTATGTGCTGATCACATCAAATGTTTAATATTAACAAAAAACGATAATCAAATAAAATTTCTTTCTTGTACTATAAAAATTAATTTTTAAAAAATTAATCCTTTATTATTCATATTTCAAGAATTTATTTATGTTCTTGCAAATATTTCAATTTTAAATACACTAAATCTTTAAAATCAACATCTTTATTTAGCATATTTATTAAAAATCAAGAAAAAAATAATTTAATCACAAATGAAAGCGAAAAGGATCTTTATAGTTCTCATCATTTTGTATATAAACCACAACATATAATGAAAAAAAAAACTTACATAATAGAGACAAATTATAAATTTCAATGAATTACATAATTTCTTTGCTCCATGGTATTATGGCTATGTACAATCAAAAATAAACAAAGGTCGTTTTTTTTGTCTGTTTTTCTAATTTATTTCTTTTCAATTTTCAAAAGACTCAATGAAAATTATTATTTTTTGCGTTTGTTTCTTTTTTTTTCGAAAACTAAATAAAAAATTTTACTAACAGAATTAAGTGTTTTTTTTTTTTAATTTTATGGTTTTTTCATAAATGACCTAAAATTTTTGATTTAATAAAAAATAATATTTACAAAAAAAAATTTTTTTAATCTCATGAATCATCATAATATTATCTTCTTTATATCCTCAATCCCTCAACCCTTCCTTCTCTGACCGTATAAACCAGGCATGGGGAACCTGCGGCCTTAAGGCCGCATGCGGCCTTTTAACTGTTTTTTAGTGGCCTTTGTCCTTAAAAAAATTTATTTCTTATATTTCTTAAAAATTAAAATTTTGCTGCCAAATTTTCGAAAACAAATCAAACATTTAGAAAAATAAACCGTGCACATAAACTTTCAAATTTGAAAACTAAAAATTGGAAAATTCAAAGCCATGAAATTTCTAACAACGTTTGAATTCAAAATTTACATACATATTTGTTTGAAAACAAACCCATATTAATATTTGAATCCTATGTCCGGGCTTCTTTCAGAATAATTGTATGCCACGCTAGTAAACTTTTTCAATAATTTTCAATCACAGCAAAGTCATTGAAATAATGAACCATATTATTTTATTAATAATGTACATACTTACTTATCTATTTTTATTTATGAAATAAACTGTTTTATGTTATTTTTTATATTCTGACATAATTTTGTTTTCATCAACCTACACAAAGCAAAAATTTATAACCTTTGGACTTTTTTTAAACTTTGCGGCCTGATTGACTTTGCATTGACTAAAATTTGGCCTTATATAGAGAAAAGGTTCCCCATCCCTGGTATAAACAAAACTAAAACAAAAAACTATAAAAGAAAAATTGAAAGAATAGGAAATTCATTCTTATATCCTTTTGTTTGTAATTCCTTTTTGGTTGCGTCTCTTCCTCTTTCGTTTTCCTCTTGTTCCTCATTTTTCCTTGTATTTTCGCTTGTAAAATACTAGAGAATTTTATTCAATTTTTCGTTTTTAAAATTATAAAGCCAACTTATTTATTACAATATATTTTTCATTATGATTTCCTTCCTTACAATATCCGGTTTAAAACAGTCATCACAAAACAAAAAAATATTAAAACAATATAAGAATCTTATATAAACCACAAGCAAAATACGGAAATATTTAAAGTAAGATTTTGGTATAAAACGAAAAATATTGTGAAGAAAAAAGGATAATAATAATATCTATACCATATTATTTTTTTTCTAAATATTTAAATATTTTTCAAAAATACCAAATTCATGTAAAATTAAATACCAAAAAAAAAATTATATCATATGATCCGCTTTCAAAACAATAAAAATCACAAAAAAAAAACAAAAAATTCTGATTTTTAAAATCAAGAGTAAATTATTACAACGAAAGAGAAGACAACAAAAATGTAAAATATTCATTATGTCTTTCTTATACAAACACATACAAATTTTAACGGTAAAATATAAAAACTTTAACGAAAATTGTTTTTTTTTTTTTATTTTTATTCTTTAAATTTTGTTCTTATAATAATAGTGCAGTTTTTATTTTAAGCTCTACAGGTATACTACTTTTATATTATTCACAAACATAAGGGGAATAAAAGCTTTTAGAAAAAAATTTCCCATATATATTTTAAAATTTCCCCTATAGTATTTAAAAATTTCCCATATTTTTATTTAAATGTGTTTTTTTTTAAAGATAGGGGATTATACAGAGAGAATTTTCTCATCGAAAATAATAATTTTTCGTTGATTTACAAATACATTTAAAATTTGCATTATTCACGCACACAGTCAGACAAATTGAAAAAACTTTTATTTCTCTTTTTTGTCCTAATAATATTTTTTCTCTTGTCGTATGAAAAATAAATGGAAGGGGAGAGGGATTTTTAAGACTTAAGGTACACAATTCTTTGTAAATAAGAAAAAAAAGAGAAAAACATAAAAATAAAAGCATATAAGTTGCATTTATTTGTATTTTCTATTTGTTTATTTTGTATATGCAGTCATCTTATAAGTAAATCTTCTTTTCTGATTATTTGCTGGTTTTATTTTTTTAATTTTTCTGTTTATTTATTGTAAATAAGAAATTTCTGATATAATTTTTAATATTTACCTTTTATTTTTCGAATATATTAAAATATATATAAAAATGCATTATTTGCATAATAATGTAATATTGATAAGTATATAAAACAGTAGAACCATTTTTTATACAGAAATTTTATTTTTTGAAATTAAAAATTATATAAATTCAAGTTTAAATGTTTACGAAAGAAAATGGAAACAAACTTGAGAAATTCGAAACTAATATATTTTTTTAAAAAAGAGATTTAGTTCAAAACAATTATACACTATAAGTTTTCAAAACTAATACTATTAGAGCTTCGGCAGGCATGTAATTTTTAGTTTAGCCACTGTTTAATTGCTTATTTGTAATCCATAGGTTTGGATTGCAATTTTTAGTTGGCGCAATCGATTCGAATTCACGCAACAGTTCAGTTGCTTAACATTTGCTTAATTTTTAGTTTTGCAATTAAGCAGTAATTGCAAAACTAACAATCACATACCTGCTTGAGTCCTAAAATTCGTATTTTTTCGTTTTTAAAAAATTCTTGAGAACTATTCACACTACTTATAGAATTGATAGTTGATATTATGAAACTGCTAACTGACGTGAACTTTAATTAATACCGATAAAATGTTATAATTGACATATTAATAAATCTAAAATGTTAAGATGAAGGAAACAACTCACTATAAATTTATCAATTTTAAATTTTTAAAGCCATAAAAGGTTTTCTACACTGAAGAAACAAGTTATTACAATTTTTAATATGGGTTATTGTTGTGATATGGGAAAACATATAAATGTACATATGCAATTAGAATATATATTTCTAATTTTGTTCAAAGTCCCATTTTATTTGCGTGCCATATCGCAAAATATAGTTACCTCATTATTTTCTTGTTCAAATAACAATAAATTGTTGTTAAAATATTTGAAAATGAATCTTTGAAAACCCAAAATTTAAGTGTATTAAAACAAAATCGAATCCATTAAAATTATATTTCTTTAATTTTGCATTTAACTAAATGCATGAACCATGTACATAAATAAATTACATTCATTTAAAAATTACCTAATTATTAATTGATTTTCCTTTTTTAATAATATTATTTCAGATTCGATGAATCAAGCTCAGATAAAGAAATTTTAGATCACCTTTTAATGCAAAAAAGATATGATAAACGACTTTTACCTCCTGTAAACGGTATTTTAATTAATAAAAAATATTTTGTATATAAAATAAAAGTAAAAATCAAAACTTGAATAAAACAATTTATGAAAAAATAAAAGCAATTACAAAAATTATGTGAACATTTTTTTCTTTTAGGAACCTTAACTGTTAATCTAAATGTATTACTTCTTAGTTTAGCATCTCCGGATGAATCAAGTTTGGTAAGTATACACAAATTCAATTAGAATTTGAGTTCAATTTCACAATTTGATATTCACATATATAAATTATAGAAATATGAAGTTGAATTTCTATTAAATCAGCAATGGACTGATCCTCGCCTTCAATATGGTAATAGATCACAATATGATTTTTTAAATGCATTACATCATCACAACGATATATGGCTGCCAGATACATATTTTATAATGCATGGTGATTTTAAAGATCCATTAATACCAATGCATTTTGCCTTAAGAATATTTAGAAATGGAACAATTACTTATGCAATGAGGTATAATTTTATTTCATATAAATATACGATATTTAAGTATTAAATTAATTAACATTTTAATAAAATATTTAAATAATTTTAGGCGGCATTTAATATTGTCGTGTCAAGGAAGCCTACATATCTTTCCTTTTGACGATCCAAAATGCTCATTTTCCATGGAAAGCAGTAAGTCTTAATGAAATAAACTGTATATATTCGGTACCTTTATTTTTTAATTTCTCTTGTCAATAAAAAGTTATTGTACCCTTGTATGTGTCTCTATATAGGTATATGACATTAACATGGAGCCCATATACGAATAGATTGTTTTATTTAAAACTGAACTTTCTCAAACAATGACTTTTTGTGAGTAGGAAAAATTAATATGAGTATTGAAAAAAAATTGGTAGGTTTTGGTAGGCGAGCTAATAGGGCAAATTAAGTTTTCTTAATATAGATTATACAGATGCGACAACAGTGCACCGCGGCCAACATAAAGGATATATTTTGCCCTGCCTTAGGGTAACCTCTATAACACTAATTCGAGACCCAAACCTTTAATGAATTCGAGTAACGTGAAAGGTTTGGCAGACCATAGCTTTGTCGGAGTGTGTGCGTACTATCCTAATACTTCTCTTTTTCAGTTAAATATTATAGTATTATTTCTTTAAAATTAATTTACTGTAAAACTATAAAATACATACTTAGTTGCACTCAATCGACGAATAGAAATTTTACCTAAATAGAACCTTTTAAATTATGCCTTTAAATAAATACTATAGGCTATAAACGTGAATAATTCCAAAATTGTGAATAATTAAAATAAACAGCATTTTGAAGTCCTTTCACCTTTGTTTTCACAATCAAAATTTTCTCTCTTATGTCAATTAATAGTCACGTCTTAAATTCTTTGATTGTATTGCACATACTCCATATATACATGTAATTTTAGTTATTTATGAATCGTAAAAGATAAAAATTTCACTTTGTATATCACTATTCTATATATTTAACATGTCTATATACATTTATATATAATTAATTGTAAAAAAATCATTGAAATAGCATGACCTCTTGCGTGACTAGATTTTCGTTTTGTGTTACAATTTCATGATTCAATCAATGATTAAAACATCGTTTCTACACTTAAACTATATAAATTGATTACTTAATGTATGATACTACGTTTATATGTATAACAGTTTTCTTTTATGGAAAATTACAATTTTATTTTACTTTTTTATTTTTATTATAGTTTAATGTCCCTATTTTTCATTGTCTTTTATTCTGATTTCGTTTACTTCACCTCAAATTCAATTTTAATTTAAAGTGGTTTTTTTTTTTTTTAATCGAGGAAGTTTGGATAAAAAGTCTTTTACCTTAAACATAATTTATATGGTTTTATTATAATTTATATTTAATTCACATAATCTAGTTTCATACGAATTATCTCACATCAAATACATATGGAAAAATGATGATACAACTTTAAAGAATAGCCCCTCATTGACAGCTTTAAATGCATACCTTATATCAAATGCAACAATATTATGTCCAATTAAAAGTTGGCGAGGTAAGTAAATTGTTTTTTAATAAAATATTATCGTAATTTCTTTTAATTTTAATATAGTATACTTTGTTTTTTTTTTTTTTTGTATTTGTTAATTAAAAAATTTGGTGTACAAAAAATTGGAACAAAACCAATTATTTTAATCGGAAAGTAATTTTTTTTAGTAGTATTTCATTAACATATAATAATAATAATAATAATTGTAGTTTATGCATCGATTTAGAAAATGTATAATATATTATAGCAAGAACAATAATCATTTACATACATAATAATATTTTGCATTTTACATTAATATTTTTTTTTCTCTCCTATAAGTATGCAATCATGGGTTTATCAATATTTTATCATATTTTCCTTTCCGCATCTATTATTAATAATTGTTATTCGAATATAATCTTATACAATTAGAATTTTCGTTTATTTTTTTCTCTTCTAATATTTTTTAAATATCCTTTTTATATAATATTCATGTAAAAAATTTTGTTACCGATTTAATTGTGTCACAAAAAAAAAAACAATAGAAAACAAAGACGACAATGAAATAAATTAGAAATTATAATAGAAATTGCATGTGAAAAAATCTTATAAAATGAAAATTTTCGATATTATTCATCCTTGAATTATTACAACTATGAAGCAAAAACAGCTCTTTTTTTAAGGCATTTTATAACACTACAACATTTTATTAATCAAGAATATATAAATGCACGTAATTTAAAAGATGTTTCATTAATATTAAATGAAAATAAATAAAATTTAGTTATAATTATAATGTTACATTATCAAAATTCAATCACAAATAAGAACTAAATAAGATGGCAACTATAAAAATTAATAAGTGATTATTTTATAAAAGAAGGTATAATGTTACCAATAAGAGAAATCATTTAAGAGAATTTTAATTTTTTTAACAAAGAGTGTGCAAACTAAACGAAAGAAGGAATAAAATTTAATGAAGATGATCACAACATATTATTATTCAACAGAATTTTATTTACTAATTGGAAGAAATGTAATATGAATGCCAAATCAATTAAAACAAAATGAAGATGACATTAAAATAGCACTATATGAAGATGACATTAAATTCAGAAAATAGAATTCCAAAAATGAAAGTTTTTGATTTTCCATAATATGAACTAACAAATTTTAAAGAAATAGATGCGCTTTTACAAAATATTATAAATTTTTTACAATATAACAACTGTAATTGCAAATGAGCACAATTTATACAACAAACAAAAAAATATACAGTGCCTTTAAATTTAATGGAAACGATTTCAAATGCTACGATTGTTTGCATCATAAATAATTAAAAATTTTGTAGTAAATAACTCAGCAAGTATATAACACTCATTTTCATCATATTATTGTTATTATTACTATTAATTATTAAAAAAAAAAAAGTAATTTTGTGACACAACATTTTATTTCTACTGACATTTACTTAATTTCCTCTTAATGTTATTATACTTAGTGTTTTGAATATATTTAAATATTAAAAAGGAGAAGTTATATAATATGAATGATAATGACATGATATTATGGAATAGTAATTACCATTTTTGCAATTAAGTAATAATGATAATTTATTTATTATTTCAGGAAATTATAGTTGTCTTCGGGTAGACTTAACATTTACACGTGATCGTGCTTTTTATTTTACAACTGTTTTTATACCTGGAATCATATTAGTAACATCATCATTTATTACATTTTGGCTAGAATGGAATGCTGTTCCTGCTCGTGTTATGATAGGTTTGTTAATCAAACATTCTGAAAGAAAAATTTCCCTTATATCATCCCTTCCAATTTAATATAAAAAAAAAATAAACTAAAAAAACAAAAATGTTATTAAAAAAAAATAATAATAATTAAATATGTACAATTAAAAATTAAAAAAAAAAAACTTCCCTCTTTCATTTTCATCTTTAACTAAAAGAAAAGAAATATAAATTTCAAAATCAAAAATCAAAATTAAAATCAAAATTCACAAAAAAAAAAAAAGCAAAATATGTTTTACAAATTTTTTTAGGCGTAACAACAATGTTGAATTTTTTCACAACATCGAATGGTTTCAGAAGTACATTACCAGTTGTTTCAAATTTAACAGCAATGAACGTTTGGGATGGTGTTTGTATGTGTTTTATCTATGCATCATTATTAGAATTTGTATGTGTGAATTATGTTGGCAGAAAAAGACCATTACATAATGTAGTTTATAGACCAGGAGAAAATCCAGTTACGCAGGTGCAGTATATTACAATAATAAATGCATATTATATATGCAAATATATTTAATTTTATGTAATATATATATGTACATTTATATATAAGTATTTTTTATGTATAAATACTATATATATATATTGCGTTTTTTTATTTTTATGTTTAATATATTAAAAAAAAAAATTGAAAACTTTTTTAATATTTATAATATAATTTTTTATGTATGTACATTGTTAAGTATATAAAAATATATTAATATTTGGTATATACTTATACTTATGTATATTTTACGTATAAATGTATAAAATATATTTGCTTCGACATGAAATTAGATTTAAAATGTTTTACAAGAAAATTTTATTGATTTGAAAATTATCAAAAAGAAATTCTTTAATTTTATAACAAAAGTGTTAAATCCCTAAAAATATGCAATTTATCTTAATTAATAATTACTAATTTAGTCTAATTTTTCTGTATGAGTTTTTTTGTTTTTTCTTATATCCCTTTTTTCAAAATGCAATGCATAATTTTTCTTTTCAAAAAATTTGCCACTACATCAAAAAATAAAGCCGTGAATTAATTTTACCTAAAATTCATTTTTATTATGTTTTTTTTTCGTTAATGCACTAATTTTTCATTTTTCCATATAAAAGTTGTAATTAAATATTTCGTTGTTTTTAATTATTTCTCTACTTCTTTCTCCTTAACGTGGAACTATTATAAAAAACTTATAACTCTAAATCTATCATTTTATTTAAAATATCCTTTAAAATGAATTAAAAATTCCCTTTAATTTTGGCATAAAACATAAACTTTATTTAAAATTATAATTATTGTATTAAATTTTAAATTAACACTGTATGTTGAAATAACATTGCCCTAGAATTGCATACGTGTTATTTTAAGTAAAACTTTCATATACAAAAGCCAAGTTATTTTTGATTTAAATAAAAAATTTTAACAATATCTTACATTAATTTCTTACATTTAAGAATATTTTCAAATCATATTTTATAAATTAAGTTTAAAGCACTCTTTCGTCTTTCTATTGTATTTTTGCCATTAAAATGGTAAAATGATTATGATAGGTGGTATTAATTGAGTTGATGTTAACTGTTAATAAAAATAATATTCGTAAAAAATTCACTTAATTGTTTCATTAATTAAAATTTCTTATAAACGATATTGATCGAAATTCTAATTAAATAACTATTAAACTACAACTATTAACACTCTTGCCAATAGTTGTACTAAAAAATTGTGCCAATAATTCATTTTTTTTTACAACAAGCAAATTTTTTTGAAAGTGCCAAGAAGAACCAATTAATTTATTCTGAAAAATAAATTAAGCCTTAATTAAGGGTTCACCACGGTTCATTTTGCAATTTCGATTAGGACCAAGTTTTCTCAACTGTAAATTATTTAAAAAACAAAAATCGAATGAAATTAATTTATTTTTAAAGTAATTTTGTCTTATTTAATCAGTATAGTAAAAAAGCTCCTTGATAAAATTTTAAATATGTATTTCACGACTTAATATAAAAATTTCTCGGAAAATTTCAAAGGAAATGAAGTAATGCAATTACATGTTCACTATGACTACAGAAGAGCATGTACATGCATTAATTAATACTACATGATAGAGTCAAATGAATCATTATTTTTCTGACATTTTTTTCTTAAGAAATTGTTACTTTATCATATTAAGAAGAAAATTTAGCATCATTTGTTAAAAAAGTTTTACAGTTCTCTCTTTAAGTTGCTCTCTTAAGTCAATACGTTTTAAATATTGTTGCATTTGCAGGATCAAGTTCAATAATATTTTCTTGTAAATTTCCAAAAAATCTATATTTAATAAAATAATTAATTCATTCATTTAAAGCATTTATATTTTATATATTATATATTTGTAATTATATATTATATACTTTTACTTATATATACAAAATTGTTACGCTTTTAACAAAATTATATTTTATTTTTACATAATTTGACAATTTTTTAATTTTGTTTTCTTTTTTATTTAAAAAGTATATTGTAATTTAATTTTCATATTATTATTTAACAAAAAAAAATTTTAATTTATTTTTTTTTTATTTTTATCCTTACAATATACAATATTTAAGTATATAAATGTGTACAGATTTTATATAATGTACTAAACGGGGTGCTTATCTTTGAATTCTTCTTTTTATTCAGTTCTTTTTTTTTGAATATTATAATTTTATTTAAATATTATGATGAAAAAGACATCAATAACGCAAAAAAAAAACTATTTTATAAAATTATAACAATTTTTTCTTCTATATATATTTCTCGCTTTAGTTATATATAAAACTAAAATTAAAATACTAATTAAAAAAAAAAACAATTACACAATGGAATGAACTTGTATTATTAAATGGGAATTTTTTTCTTTAATTCAAAAACAAGCGGGCTTATTTTAATTATTTTTTTTTTGTTCGTATTTATTTGATTTTTTGACTGAAAACTCGCAAACAACAAAAAATAAAATAAATTATAAAAAATTTGTGTTTTTCCTTTATTTTTTTTTTTTGTAAATTATTCAGAAATTTTTTGAATGAAAAGCTTTAAAAATAGCTTTTTAAATAATAATTTTAAATATATAATTTTAATTATTTTATTTTCAATTCATGTTCATTGTGAAAATTAATTAAAAAAAAAAATTAAAATCATTTCTATGTGCTGTACAAAATAAAATAAGTGTTTTTAATTGGTCAAAATTTTAAGTATTTATAAGTTTAAATTTAACTTTAATACTTTACTAAAAACAAAAATTTCTTATAAATATTTAAATATTTAAAAATAAAAATTAATTAATATTATTATGACATTAAATTCTACGTTATTGAATATTACGGAGTAAAATGCCGCAACATTAAATTAAATTTAATAAAACAACAAAAACACAAATAGGATAATCTAAAAATATAAAAAATAAAAAAAAATTTTAAAAGGTTTGTATACTAAATGTTAGTATACGATTGCAATCAATATAATAATTAATTTATTATTTTAATTTTAATTTTTTTTTTGTTTTCAATTAAAATAAATATAAGAGGAAAAATCTCTTAGTTAAATTTAAAGAAACAAAAATTTTAGGTTTCAAAATTTTAGTATCTATTTCAAATTTCGATAAAAATCTAGGTTTAGTAAAAATCTAGTAAAAATTATTTAAATTCATAAAGGAATAATTAAATAAATAAATAATTAATAATTAGTAAAAATTGTCATAAAACTTTAAATTTTATATCAGAATATAAAATACAAGGAAAATATTTCATATAATCTTAATAAGTGTTTATTAACAACTCTATATGAATTAATTTATTTTTATATCACGGTTTCTATTAATCTAAATTTATGAACAAAAAATAATAAATCAAGATCAATAAATTAATTTTAATTTATTCTTAAACAGTACATAAATCCTGCATTATTAAAAATTTGAACTAAAATGAATTTAAAAAAATACATTATCAATTTTAATTTTGAGTATGTTAATATTAACAAAAAAAAATTATTGCAAACCATAGAAAACTTATTTTTATTATTAATATATTTGAACTAAAGAAAATTTTCTAATGCATTCAACGAGAACCTCTACATTTTTAATACTTAAATTTTTTTGTTTAAAATTTTCATTCAAATATTTTTATATTCAGTAGATTACTAGATCTAATGAAATATTCGATGAAAATAACATCAATTTTAATAAAAAATTTCATTTTTTCTGAGTTTTATTTATTGAAATAAAAATATTCAAATTTGTTTTCTAATTGCCATACAGGGTGTTTATTATAAGGTGAAAAATAACTTCAAGTTTAATTTCTTGTAATGTAAAATGCTGTAGTTTTTCTAGTTAAAATTTTATGTATGAAATTTGCATGTTTCGCATGTTAATCTATTTAACACGTTTTATTAGAGTGTTAAATATGTTTACATACGAGATAGAGGAAAATGTTATATGGGTTCACTTTAAGCTCTTATTATAGCGCATTGAAAAAAAAATCCAAAAATTGGAAAAGTTCTAAATTTTAAAAACAAAAAGTTAAAAAAAAAAATAACAAAAATTCTAACCTTGACGAGCTTTATTTCAAAAATTGTAGCTCAAATCTAATTGATTACAAAATAAAGAGCACTCAATTACTTGTAAAACCTCAAAAACCAGTGTATCTGCATACCCCTCCCCCCCCCCCCCCCCCGGCCACAACTAAACTATTTTTTGCTAATTAAATAATCATCCCAGAAATTATTTGCCACCTTCTACCAAACCTATTGTATATTTTCCATTAAAGTTTGTAAATTAGAATAACCAAAATATTTAAAAAGGTTAACACTTTATGCTAGCAAAGACTTTTAATAAATCTGAACTCCAAGACTTTTTGATAAATCTGAAATCCAAATATTTCTCAAAATGTCGAAAGTAATTCTGATTAAAGTAAAATTATTTCTTTAAATTATTTGTTTTCTCTCTTAAGGTTGAAGGTAAGTTTAATCAATCAAAAAATAAAACCAAAAACTGTGATCTTTTCCAATTATAGTTGATCAGTAAAAAATATTTTTGGTTTAAAACGAAATTTATTTAAAAAATCTGCAACTTAACATACTCAAAATAAAACAAAATAAAACAATTAAGCATATAAAATCACTTAATCAAACAATAAAACAAAAAAAAAAAAATTTTATTTATTTGCCCAAAAATTTGCAAAGGCGTATTTTTTTTTAAAAATTGAACAACAAGCCTATTATAGCCTATTATTTTTCTTTTTAATTTTAATTTATAACATATTATCATAATAGTTTTAATTAAATTGCAGCTTTTGCGCTCTCGATTAAAATTTATAGAAAGCTACACCATATTTTAATTATATTATATACAAATAATTTAATATATATATTATAATAATAAATAGAAAAAATTTGGCAGTACATTTTGAAATTTGATAAAAATCTACTTTTTCAAAAGAAAATTCTTGAAATACTGTTCACACGTATACAGTGATTTCTACATCAAGCACATATAATTGGAAAATTAGATTTATTTCTACCATCAAATCAATGAACAGCCAAAAAATATATGCAAAAATATTAAATAAATAATATTATATATTATTATTAATTAGCAAATATATTTTATTTATCATATATATATGACAAATAAATCATTAATTTTTTTATTCTCCAAATAATAATAATAAAATATTATAAATCAAAACATATATACCAAAGAAACAAAAAAAAAAAATTTTTATAATTCTTCATTTACAGAAAATGAAATCTTTCGGAGGGATGAGATTTTATAATGGGGTAATTTTTTAAGTAAATTTTTTTTAACAAATTATACAATTCTTTTTTTTTAAAATTCCATAATAAAAATTAATTAAAACAAAAAAATTATATAATACACATAAAATCAATTAAAACAAAAAAATTAAATTGTAATAAGAAAAGTATATCGAAGGATTTATTAATTTATCCTTAATTTTTATATAATTTTTTTTTTAACTTTTTACAATTTTGCAAAAACAAAAAAATATTAATAGTTTCTTTGATTATTTATTTTGATTTTTTTTTTTAATTTTTAATTTTTCCTTTATATATAAATCATATTTATTACTTCAATTTTATCAATATTTATTATTACAATTACAAAATATTCGTAGTTAATATTTTTAACTCATTAATCACCTAAAAACTATTTTTTAATAGAACAAATTTAAAACAAAAAATTCAAAAAGAAAAAAAAAGTCAAAAACCATAGAACAGTAATTAAAAAATGAATACCAAATATGAAACCTAAATTTGGGCAACTAAATTTATTATTAAAAAAACAACAAATTGGGGACTCGAAAAATTATTTTTTTTTTAATTAAAACAATTCAAATGCTAATGATATTATATTATATGTATATGTTTATATAAAAATATATACATATATATAACAAATTAATTAATTTATTTTCTTTTGTTTATTTTTATTAAATCTTTATTCCGAAGCATTAAATTTTAACATGTCTGTGTTGGAATGTATAAAACTTTTCTATTTTAACTTTTCATTCTTTTCAATTGATTTGCTCTTAAATATTATTAATTATACCTTAAATACCTACGTATAGTATAAATATTTATAGTTAATATGATGAGTTTCCTTTAATATATACCCTTGCATTTTCTTTTGTATGTATATGATATTCCCCAAAAACATTTTAGTTATATGTACTAATGTAGATATATAAAAAAAACAAAGAAATAACATTTACAACGCATATTATTGTTATTATGTTTCAGAGGTCTATTTTAAAAAATTCCAATAATTATTTTTGTTCTCTCTCTTTCTCTTTATATAATATTTATGAATATGTGAAGATTGCTTTGTTTTATTATTATTGTAATTAATTATCATATTTCACTTAAAATTTATAGCTTTCACAATTTTTACATATTATGATATTTTCACGATAGCAAAATTTGAAATATTTAATTATAAATAAGAAAAATTTTTATACATTTAAATTCTAGCACAATTCCCTTAAATTAAAAATTTAATATATAATTATTTTTTTATATATATATTGCTTCGAAGATTAAATATTCATAAGAAAATTCATTAAAATTATTATTCGTAATGAAAGCAAAATTTATGATCACAATAAAATCATTATAATATAATTTAAAGCACTAATATATAATAATAATGACACTTCGCTTATAAATGGCTTCGCTTAAAATAAATATTAAATTTATATACTTCAATTGAATTTGAAAGTATTTCATAGGAATTCCACCTACATAAATATAATAAGCTTGCATGTGAAATAATATTGTTCAGTCCCAAATTATATAAATATTTTGGAAAAACAAAATGAAATTAGCAAATTCTCATTTTTTCTGAAAAATAAATATTTATATTAAATATAAATTAAAAATTATTTTTAATATATATTAATATTTTAATATATAATATAATGTTTATCATAATTTCAATTTTTATATTAATATTATCATAATAAAATTTATCAAAAATATAATTAAAATTTTATTCATTGATCTAACTATTTTACAAACTCATTAAAACGTAAGTATGATTTTAATAATATTGTTTCAGAAGTTTCAACAATATTATAGGTATATATTTATTATTTAAAAATAAAATCTTTTATATAGATATTCCATATTCAGTATCTCAATACAATGTATAATTCCATCTAAAATTGATGAAACATTTCGTATGTTAAAACAGGAAATTAAGGGAAACTTAAAGTAGGATATATTTTTAATAAATGGAAAGTTTCTCTCTTAAGTCTTTTGATTTTAATATAAAATCATATTAAATTTTTAATATTAAACAGTTAAAAAATACATAACGTAATTTCAATATTATTTGACTTTATATCAAGAGAAATTCATATTAGGGAGAAGCATCAGTTTTTTGTTCATTTCATTTTAATTAAACGCACTTTAATTGACTACAATATTATTAAAAATAATTAAAAATTTATGAGTGTTTATACGAGTATAAATAAATGTGCTAACCTGGTTATTTAAAATAATAATCAATTATGGTTGGTAGTTAATATTTATGTGAGTAATTTAAATTTTCACCTTATTTATATTAACAAAAATATATCTATAGTTTTCACTATTAAAATAAACACATTTATTTTTTTTTTTTGATATTTTGTATATTGCTGCAAGCTGATTACGTATTAAATTTACAAAAATTTACACAAAATGAGTGCACAATAATAATTTTTGCTCTACAAATAAATTTATATTTTATATATTTAATGTTTAAAAATCAATAATTTTTGTTCATTGCAAAAAAAAAGAAACAAATCACGTAAAATAATCAAATTGTTATTATTATAATATAATATAATTTATATTATAAAATTTAATGTTAAAATAAATATAAAGTAATTTGTTATTGTAGAGGATTGAATGCTTATCAGGGATCGATGAATGTTTTTGTTTTTTTATAGTATATATCAAACCCAAAGTTTTATTGTTATTTTATTTAAGAACTTTTTTATAGACAATAAAATTACGAGTATAACTAATTATATAAATCGTTTAAAGTACGTGGAATATTATTATATCAAAATTATTAAATATTCTAACGATTCAAATTAGAAGAGCAAAATGAGAAGAATTAATTTTATAGCAAATTTTATTTTATAAGAGAAATAATTATACTTGCGCGTAGATTTCAGAATTTAAGTAGGATTTCAATTATATAATAATTTCCAAACACTTTTTTTTAAAAATTTTAACAACCACTTTATACGTTGAAAATATATTTATTTTTATTACATGAATTTTAATTCGTATAATTAAGAAATTCGTTGCATTTGTTTAAGAGAACTATTAAACAATGGTTCTATTAACTGACTGCAGTGGCCAGAACATATTTCTAAAGCCGCTACTGATATCTCTTTAATAAAAAGACTACGTTAGAAACAGTAGTTGGCTTTTTGATAAATTGAAATATACCTGTAATATAATAATTCTATCTTCAATATCCATACAATAAAAACAATTATATGTAAACTGCTATAAAAGAATTTGAGTACCTAATGTTATTTTCACGACTCGTGTTATTCATAATTCGTGTTCGTCGGCGAAGTTGAGAGAGGCTTTCATATAAATTAGTATTTGATTATATATTTTTTTTAAATTTCTTCAATAAGATCTATTTGTATGGAACGTCATATCTTCTAACTTATGCATTCATTCATAGTGCAATCGACAATATTGAATGCAAAATTTAAAACTTTTATTTGTTTTTTTATTTTCACTTTTTAGGAACCGCATTGCATATACAAAATTGAAATATGAGATTATTTAATATATGTATGTATGTGATAACACCAAATTTCGCATGTCGATTTTTTTCTTAATGGCGAAGTATAAATAAGCTAGTATTAGCGGAATGCCGATTTGTGTTTGCAACCGTATATCTCAATATCGACTAAACCGATTTTATATGCAACAGATTGATTTGAAATATTATATATAACACTTCATCAGAAAATACGAAAAGTCACCTTACTTTTCGTGGAAATCAGCAAATAATTCAGCTTTATCTTAAATGTCTTTTGCCAAAGACTCATCTGTTTTTTCCAATAGGAAGATTTGTTTAATAGGCTTCTTAGAATTTATTATTCGTTGCTTTCCAAAACAATTAATTTCTTTGCTTATCGGCGTAACTGTTCACATTTACGTCTTTCCCTTATTTTTGTAAATATTAAATCAAGTATCGCTTTAGGGTTATTATTTAATAAGGGTTTTATTCAGAGAATTTAGTATTCTTCCGGGCGACTATCTGTATTAATTTAATAAAGCCTTCCAAATTTCATGGCCTGTTAAAAAATTCTGTTTTCGACAAACTTGAAAACGAAATATTTTATTAAAGGACTATTTCGCATACATTTATATTAATGCAAAATATATTATTTAATATAAAATAAAAATTATTTAACACTAACATTAGAAAAATTCAATCTATATTATAATGCATATTGATATATGTATATATTATAGATATTTGTATATCTATAATATACATAATTACACACATGATTATATGTAATTAATTTTCTACATTATTATATTATTGTAAATCATCAATGTCGAAAAAAAACACAAATTTTGAGCTAAAAATTATATTACAAAAATTTATTATTGAAAAATTAAGTAAATGTATATTAAAAGAAGCTTTTATACACAAATTTTTAACAAACACAAAAAATTTAAACAAATATGTATTTTACTTTTATACAAATTTCAAAACACAAAATAATACACAAAATTGTCATACAAAAAAAAACTATTATACAAAAACTGTTATACATTAGACAAAACTGTTATACAGTATTGATAAAAAGCAACTCAGAAATTTTATGAATATTAAAATACATTCTTTTACACACAGTTTTACTGTCATAAATATTTTTTCCATACCGTATAAAAAAACTAAATAATTCAAAAATTATAAATAAAATAATAAAATGTAAATAAAAAATAAAAAATAATCAAATATTTACATAAACTTAAAATAAAAACATTAAAAAATTTTCTATTTATATAAATACTTTTGCACATTTTTTCCTATATTTTCAACACAATTAATATTTATGATTATATTATTGTAGAACACACACACATTTGTACATAAAAATTAGAATTTTAAAATTGTAATCTAAATAAACCTATTATATAACTATTATAGTATAAAAATTATATGAAATATAGAGTAATTATTCCTATTTCTGATAAAGTAATAAAATTATATAAAAAATCAAATTTATATATATAATAGTAAATTATCGCAACACATAAAATTATATTTTTCAAATAAAATTAGCAAATAGCATAGCAAAATTTATTTAAAACACAAAAATTCATTATTTATTTAGACACACAAAATGTGATATTTAGAAAAAAAGTGATATAAGAAAAAAGATAAAAAATTCCCATTTAAATATATATATTTATATATATGAAATTATACATATATAAATATATAGTATACATATAAGGAACTTTAAAATTGTAAAAAAAAAGCAAAACATAAAGTCAAATTAACTGGACCTATACACTTAATATATATATTACGATGTATATACATAAATATTTTTATATACCTACTTATTTACTTATTTTATTTGTATTTTTTTATAGATCTATTATTTATATATATATGTACATATTATTATTTGTATTACTAATAATATTACAAAATCAAATAATATAATAAAAATTTTGCAAATTATTTTCAAAATTTCTTAAATAAATCATTATTATTTACTAATTTTTTTTTGTTTTTTTTTTTACTCAAATATTTACTTTTAATTTTTAAAAATTTCTTTTCTTTATTAATATTTATTTTTCTTATAACATCGTTTTTAATCAAGTATATATACTAAATCCGACCTCTGAAACTTATGTATCAAAATATACAAAAAAAAACGAAAAAGAATAATTTAAATAATTAACAAAAAAAAAATATATGCTCAAAAATTATTTAATCAAAAAGAAAACAAAATATTGCTAATATAAAATAAATAAAATATTGACTAATTCGAATTTAAAAGAAAATTGATATAATTTTTGAATATAATTTTAAAATTTTATCACTTATATTTTTTTTTACTATACTTTCATTTTTTAGTCTTTCACTTTTTTTCATTTAATTTTTTTTTTAATATTTAAAATTCTTTAGAATATTTTTATTAAATATAAAGAATATTATTTACAAAGCACAACTTATATACAAGTGTTATATAACAATAAATACATTTGTTTATTGGTTTTATACCTACAAATATTTTTGTTTTAACTTTGTTTTCCTCCATATTTCTTTTCTTATTTTCTACATATATATATATATATATATATATACTCACATTATAAAAAAATTGTTATATAAATATTACAAAATTTTAGCTATTATACTTTTTTAGTTATTATTTTATTTTTATCAATTTATCTTTGTTAATTTTTTATATTATATACATAGAATAATAGTTTTATGTTTATTTTTTTTCTTTTTATTTTAAAATAACTTGCAATTTAAAACATTCAAGCAAAAAAAAAAACTATACCATGTTTTTTGCAATATTTTCATTCTCTATAATTCTATTCCTTTCGCTCTCTCTCTCTTTTCACTTTTTTTACTTCCTAAAGGGAAATATATATATATATATATATAACGTATATGTATTATATTGCATTGCTTAAGGAGGCTAATTGAAATAATGACGTAAAAAAAAATCTCAAACATTATGAATTTGCTTTAAAAAAATAAATGTTATTATAATGTACACATACCCGAGGAACAGTTATTTCCAACAAAGAATTCACAGTAGGCGCAAAAAAAATGTTAGTAAGACGCTGTTTTTTATCAAAACCAATTTCAAAGACCTTTAGCAAAGCATTTTAATATTAGTCACCCTGCCCTTCCTCCTCCTATATCCCATTTAAATCGAAATCTGAGTTAGCAATATCTATAAAATTATTAATAGATTTATATCTGTTCTTTAAAGTTTATAAATTATTTTGGCCTTTCCTCTCTTTATGTCTTTTTAATGCTATTCAACAATATGACTTCATTATGCAAGTTTGTTTCTATGTTCCTATTTGTACGGATCGTACAAGACCTAAAATCAATGTGAAAGGATCACTATTTTTTTAATGTAATATAAAGTATAATTTCAAAAAATGTTTGTAATATTTTGCACAGAACATAGATACTCTTGACTTATCCTATAAAAATTTAGAACATGTTAAACTAAATTTAGACTCAATAAAAATTTTCATGATTCTCCAAATTACATTTATATTAATTAATATAACTAATCTTTATAATAGGAATTTTTAAATATTAAAATTTCGTTATTTCTTTGTCTAAAAAGTGTACGGTAACTTCCTATTTTTGAATATTAAAATAAGCGCGGGCTAGCAGACCAAAAAATATTTCATGCCGCCAATTTAAACTTTACAAAAAATTATAAGATTTTAAGGAAATATTGTGCACTATCTTATAGAAATTGGCAGTATTAAAAAATTCTAATAAAGTTCCATTTTCCGGATTTGTCACTTAACAATTAGCCCCTACATATCAAAATACCACAGCAACACCAAAATCTTAAATATTAAATCAATTGCGACAAAATAAAAGAAAAATTTATTTAATTTAATTATTTTCCTTACACACAATTTTCTTATTTTTTTTTTCATTATCAATTCTCTGTATACGAAAAAAACGCATACGAAAATAAAAAGAAAATGAAAATTCTTTTGAATTAAAAAACAAAATTTTATGAATTTATTTTTTTTCTTAAATATTTGATTTCAATTTTAAGTTTAAAAGTTTGTTTCTCAATTAATTATTTATTATTGAAGTATTTAGTTTTTTTTTAGTTTAGTTTTTTCTTTTTATTTATATTTTATTTTCCTTATATCTTAATGTTTTTTAATGTGTTTTGTATGAAAAATTGTGTTCATAATTTTTCCAGCGTCTTCCAGCCGTTCTTAGCAGGATTGGAATTATTCTTGCAAGCCCTTTGGTAAGCTACCTATCCACCCTTCCTTAAAATTACACAAAAAAAACAAAGAACCGCTATTTAAAAACAATAAAATTAATTCGTTTCAAAACAAAAAATTTTCTTTCATTTCTTTCATACATATTGTATACCTATGTGCATTTATACATGTACATATTATTTATATCAATGAATACATAGGTATTAAAATATATTATATGCATATATATATATATATATATATATAAATATACATGTATGCATACATAATATGTATATTTAAAAAAAATATATGATATCATACTACTAAATTTCTTAAATTTATAAAATTTATAAAGCAAACTTATATACAAAATAATTTTTTAAATTGCAAAATTTATTATAAAATATTCCAAAAATATAAAAGCATATTCTTTAGTATTTAATTGCAAATTATTTAATTTTAAAATATATAATAGACTATTTAAATAATATTTGCATTAGTTATTTTATTTTTAAATATATTTAATAACCAAAAACAAAAAAAAATTATTTTAATTTTGAATAGCGCTTTAGAAAGTTTATAGATTAAATGCTTTTTTTATTGTATTGAAACATAATTATAATTTAAATAAAATTAATATTTTATTAAATAGCATACTAGTGAATTACATACATACACAAATATAATATATTATATTAATATTATTCTATACATATATATATCTAAATATATGTGTGTTATTCATTATATTATATATATATATTATATAGATATATCGATATAGTAATTTCCAAATAATAAAATCAACTTCTACATCGAGAGTAAATCAAAATAATTTAAAATATAAAAAGTGATTGAAATCTTAATTAATACAAATTCTTAATATTATTATACAAAACTTAATATTATTATTGATTTAATCATGTCTGCCCGTTTGTCCGTCCGTATCAATGATAACTTAAAAACTAATTGAGCTAAGTTCACCAAATTTTCACAAATGATTTCTTGACTGCTTGTGTTGGATGCCAAGCAACTTCATAAGTTGTTTGATTACAGCTTATTCAATTGTTAAAGTTGCAAAACTGAAATTTTGAACGAATTTGTTGATATTGACATCATTTCCAATAAAACTCTTTCAGATCGTATAGGTTTATTAGTTAATTAAATCTTAATTTTTATACAAAAACAAGCAAAATGCACCGAAAATATGAATATATATATCCTAAATTTTCAAAAGAAACTGCAAAATATTTATATTTTAAAAATAATGAAGTTGAGACCAAATTTTGATTAAATTAAGTTTTAATTTAATACAATTGAATAATTCAAATGGAATCTCTATGGTACTTTAAACGTTCTCTATATTGAAATTCCACTGTATTCAAAAAAATCTTTATTCCTTAGTTATAGCTCAAATAATTTTAAAAATTTTTATTTTTTAATTAAATTATTAATCACCAAAACTATTTTGAATGTTATTTGGAATTTAGCCTAAGATTATGTACATAATATTACAATACATATCAAAATTGTTAAATTTGTGATAATATGTTATAAAATTTTTAATACATAAAAAAAGAGAAAAAAAAAAAATTTATAAAAATATACAAATTTTTTTAACTTAAATTTTTATGTGAGTGTAAAAGTAAATAATCATAATATACTATCTATGTATATCCATAAAATATATATTACAACATAACACAACATTCTTATACAAAACAACCATTCACATTCTATGCAATTGTCACATTGTTATTCTTAGAGAAAACATAAAATAAAAACAAAATTTCATGCATTCATACATATATACATTTGTGTCTGTATACAAAATATATATTATATTAAATATATTTTACAAAAAAATTTTGAATAAGATCTTCCAAACCAAAAGCTATTAATTACAAATGAAAAAAGCCTACTTTATACAAATAAATTCATTATAAATCTATACAAATGAATTATAATTTACAATTTTCGTTAATAATACAATAATTTTACTACATATGTTGGTTTGCTGAAATCGATCTATCTCCTCTCAAAGAGCTATACATTTCAAAATTTTCTGAATTTTGTAGCTAACACAATTAATATTGTATGCTCAACAAAATCTCGTATACACATTTTATTATAATTACTCAAGTTTCCATTTTTAAAATGCCAATGAATTTTTTCGATCACTTAAGCATAGTGTTTCATAAATTACTCTTAAAATAACATCGTTATTTTATCAACTTCTATTTAAATTTATGAAAAATATTTTTACTTACACCTGTAATCAGAAAATATTAGTAAAAAGGTTCCCCAAAAAAGGAATGAGATTACTTGTTTAATTCAATTTTTAATAATTTAAAAAAATTATTTACTCATATAGTACCATTGATTTTTTGTAATATTTCAAGATCTAAGAAAGTATTTATTACGAGCGAAGAGATGAGCTTTCTCAAACAAATAAAATCTTTTTGACAATCCAAAAACTTTTTAGAATTTTAGAAATAAAGAGCATGAAAATCGCTTTTATTTAATTAATAATGAAAAAATTTAGAATTGTTTATCATATCGCACTGCGATAAAAGTTTATCTCCTGAAATAATAAGATTTACTATTTCAAGAGATAAACTTACGTTGGTATCATTTTAAAATATAAATATTATTAAAGCAAATATATAATATTATAACGTACGAATATTCTCAAATTATAACAGCAAGCAAAAATTGTAATAAAACAATTGAATAAATTCGTTGTAGATAAACACTGCTGATCATTATACTAAGTATGTCCATTTTAAATAAAATATTTTCATACCAAGTAAACACTATCTCTGAATAATACATCTGAATAATACCATCATTTCCATCTGAATAATACAAAATTATTAAATATGAAATAAATTAGTGTATAAAATAAAGATCCTCTCTAGTTAAATAAAATAAATTTTTTATTTAAATTTAAAAAGAATGCTTGCTTAGAAATTTACTCAAGACGAAGACTTACTTTAAAATGATTCGGAAACCAATTTTTTTTGAATACTTATAGATTTTACAGTGAATATATTATTAGAAATTATTGCTTTCAAATCAAAATTTAAAAAATTTTGAATAAATAAATAAAAATTGTATATATAATTAATTAAAATTGCATGCATGATATTATTTCTAAAAAAAAAAATGGCGCAAAATAGCACTAAATAATAATATGAATTTATCACCTATATATCACAAATTTATACATCTAATTATTTATAGAAATATAAATCTAATGAATAGTTTCCTTCCGAAGAAAAAATTTTCAATACAAATAAATTTAATAGAAAAGAAAATTAATTTTGAAAAGATATTCAAATCTAGTGCGAATAATATAGCTTCTAGTATAATAATTTTAATGCTCAATTTGTTATATCATGATTTTAAATATTTCAGTAGCTTATAGTTATTTTATTAAATTACAAACCTTTTTTATTTATCATTTTTGTAAGATACCTACAATATAGTTTTGATAATATTAAAATGTTAATTTTTTTTTTATATATAGTTACTGTTAATTTTTGATTGATTTATTATAAATATTTATATATAGAAAGAAAAACAATTTCAAAAAAAAAATTTATATATATTTTAGGCATTTGAATTGAATACAACTATATAGAATTGATAAAAACTAAATTAAACACAAAAATTCTTCAAATTAACTTCATATTTGAGAATATTAAAATCTTAATTTAGAAAATATCTCATAACAAGTTATTATAAAAATATAAATTTAATATAATTATGTATGTTACACCTATGTATATAAAGCATTTTCCACAATATTATTTATTACATAGCTATATATTTTATTATAGAAGCTTATGAAGCCTATCGTAAAATGCGTTCAAAATAATTATTAAATTACAAAGAAAAAATTGCATGCCAAACATTACAATAGCATTGACAATTTGAATGTTAATTTTGATTTTTCTAAAATGTAAAATATTACAAAATATTTTACTAAATATTACACTTTTAATCTTATATTTTTAGATTTTAATTAAAAAATAAAATTTGTAAATATACATGGGTGTAATATTCATGAATATGCAATTTATTTATTTCTTTCGTTCTTAATTTTAAATCATATTATAGAAACTAGACTCCAAATTTCATCCTTATATACAATTACAAAATTTTATAAAAAATATATTATTTTTGGTTAACATTTCATTAATATTCTTATATAGTAACATCAAAAGCACCTATTTTAAAATACAAAACATAATTTTATATTTTAATTTAAAAATTTTATTAAGAAACATGAAATTTTTTCAAATTTAATTCAGCCAATATAAAATCAATTGAATAAAATTTAAATAATAATTTTTTATTATTTTTTTCTTTTCACATTCAAAAAATATTATTTATTTAGTTCATCAGTTTGTTAATTTTTTATTTAAAATTTAAACTTAGAAATAATGTTAATAGAAATTATGTGATTTTAATTATAAAAAGTGGAAGTGAAAAAAAAAACTTAAATAATAATATTTATTTTTTATATAAAAATATAAGAAATTTGATCAAAATATTAATTTTAGATAAAATAATACAAGCAATCGTTGTCAATAAATAATCAATGTTTTTTGTCGACAAAATAATTTAATAATACGAGTATACAGTAGTAAATATTAGATATATATACATATGTAGGTATATTGTTATATATTTAGAATATTATTCAAATTATAAAAAGAGGTGTTATAGAAGAAGTATACCCACTATCAATATTAAAACGAAGAATATCAGCAAGCATTACTATAAAGCAATAAATCTACTGCAAATTTTAATAAATTTAAGGATGTAAATCGACATGAACGAATTAGTCCCTGTTTTTTTTAAAGAAAACCCATTATGTAAATATTTTCGAAATTTCAATATTTTCCATTACCAATCATGCACATGTATTTAATATCTCTTACGTACCTATATAATTTCTCTTATATATCGGTAACATATATAGAAAATCTTGAAAGAAGATAAAGGTGAAAATTGTTATTTATCAAGATGA